TGTCTGTCTACCTATCTATATCAATCTACCTTTCTAAATACTTTTTTCAAAGTAAAGATAATATATACTCATGGACCAAATTCTAAAATATACTAAAGGTAAAAATAAAATACAAAAATGTCCCATTTCTCTCTTATCCTTAATTAGTACTTATGCCCTAATTCAATTTTTAAGTTATGATTTATTTATTTGTAAAAATGGTGTTATATAAATGACTCTTATTCCACAACTTTCTTTTATGTAACCTTTAAACAATTTTTAAATTATGGTAAAAGCATGTAACATAGAACATCTTAAACATTCTTAAGCAAAGATCTCAGTAGTAAGTACATTCACATTGTTATGCATTCAATCTCCAGAACTCTTTCTATCTTGCAAAACAGAAACTCTATATTCATTAAACAATTCTCCATTTCTCCATCTCCCCAGTGTCTGGCAACCATATTTCTACTTTATGTCTCTATGAATTTGACTATTTTAGGCATATCATATGAGTGGAATCATATAGTGTTTGTCTTATTTTAGCTAACTTATTTCATTTCGCATAATGACCTCAAGTTTCATCCATATTATAACATATGTCAATTTCCTTCCTTTTGATGGCTAAATAATATTCCATCATATGAATGTACTACATTTTTTTAATTCACTGATCCATCATTGGACACTTTGATTGCTTCCACCTTTTAGCTGTTGTGGATAATGCTGCAATGAATATGAGTGAGCAACTATATCTTGAAGACCCTGCTTTCAATTATAATGGGTAGTACCTAGAATTGGAATTGTTGGATCTTACAGTGAATCTATTTTTAATTTTTTGAGGAACAGTCATACTATTTTTCATAGCAGCTGCACCACTTTATATTCACACCAACAGTGCACCAGCATTCCAATTTCCCCACATCCTCACCAAAATTTGATAGTTTCTGTTTTTGTTTTGTTCTTTATAGTAGAGTTCCTAATGGATATGAGGTAGTATTTTATCAGGTATTTCCCTCATGATTGGTGATGTTGAGCCTCTTTTCATGTACTTTTTGGCCATTTGTTTGTCTTCCTTTGGGAAATATCTATTGAAACCTTTATCCACTTTTTAAAATTATTTGGATTTTTGTTGTTGTTGGGTTTTAGAAGTTATCTATATATTCTAAGTATTAGTCACTTATCAGATGTATGATTTGCAAATATTTTCTTCCAATCTGTAGATTGCATTTTCACTCTGTTCATTGTGTCTTTCAATGCACAGAAGTTTTAAATTTTGATGTCCAATTTATCTAATTTTACTTTTGTTGCTTATGCTTTTGGTACCATATCCAAGAAATCATTGCTAAATCCAATGAAGTTCCCCTCACCATGTTTTATTCTGAGTTTTATAGTTTTAGTTTTTTCATTTAAGTTTTTGATCCATTTTGAGTTAATTTTTGCACACGATGTAAGTTGAAGATCTAACTTTATTCTTTTTCATGTGGATATGCAATTTTTCCAACATCATTTATTTTTAAAATTGCTCTCTCTCCATTGAATGGTTTTGGCACTCTTGTCAAATATCATTTGACCATATGTGCAAAGCTTTTCTGGGCTTAAAATTCTATTCAACTGGTCAGTATGTCTATCTTTATGCCAGTTCTGTACTGTTTTGATTACTGTATCTCAGTAAAAAGTTTTAGAATCTGGACATGTGAGACCTTCAAGTTTGTTCTTTTAAAGATTATTTTGGCTATTCAGGGTCTCTTGAGATTCCATATAAATTTTAGGGTGGAGTTTTTTATTTCTGAAAAGAGTGCCATTGAGATTTTGATAAGGATTGTATTAAATCTGTAGATCACTTTCGTATTGTTGACATCTTAACAATACTAATTTTTGCAAGTCATGACCTTGAGATGTCTTTCCATTTATTTGTATCTTTATTAATTTCTTTTAAAATACATTTTTTACTTTTCAGTGTACAAGTCTTTTGCCTCCTTGATTAAGTTTATTTCTAAGTATTTCATTCTTTTTGAGAAAATTGAAAATAAAATTATTTTGTTAGTTTTCTTTTCATATTGTTTATTGTTAGTAGATAGAAATGCAACTGATTGTTATGTGTTGGTTAATATCCTGCAACTTAACAGAATTTTGCTTATTAGTTCTCACAGATTTTTTTCTTGTGCACTCTTTAATGTTTTCTAAAGATAAAATCTGTGAACAAAGATAATTTTACT